ATAGGAGTTCGATCAGGACTCATTGCGAAAATCCACTCAGAAAATGCTTTTCAAGGGCCACATGCAGCCTTGTTCTCTGCGTACGGTGGCGCGCTTAAGGGAGGGGAGGGAGAGTTGGCGCTGCGCAGCGTTTGGCACGTCGCCACCAATTGTGGAATCAACTTGATGCCAAACAGGCTGGGGGCGGCCAAAGGCAGGCCCCGAAATGCACCAGGGGCTGCAGAAGGCGTGAACCTCCCTTTCGCTGTGTTCTACACAGCGATGATGTCCTTTGGTGCTGACTGCGCCTTCAGATGAAGAGTGACTGAATGCTTGGGAAGGGAAACTGAGGCAGATTGGCCCAGTGGTCAGGGTAAAATAAGCCACAGCAAAGCCACGGAGGTACTCCAAACCATTCCAGCAGATATATTAGCAATTTTCGCTACGCACCATTTTTTTTCATGAGTTCAGTTTCAGAAGAAAGGTATTCTGGGACGGTCTAATACACTCGTGTAAATGGAAACGAATCGATGAATGAAACAGATCATGTAGCACATTTTTTATTTGCGAATAAACATGAAAATACAATAAATGTGTTATTTGTGGTTTGGAAGTCTGGACTGAAAAGGCAAGGAATGACAGGAAAGCCAATTGTCTAGAAGAAGTGAGGAACCGATGACTAGATCTTGCAGTAAGTAAGAAGCATGTGAACGAGTGGCTGCCTTCATACTTTGCGGCAGTGTCCACCAGCGACCACTAGCGTTCCGAGCGTCCGGCAGCGTCAGCGACTAGGAAAGTATAGATATCGATCTAGCGTCTGCCAGCGTCCATCAGCGTCTCGAGAACAAGGGAAGTATCGGTATCGATGTAGTGTCTGCCAGGGTCCAAGACTTCACCAGCGACCGGGGTTAGAGTATGGGGAAGTAGGAGTGTAGAAAACAGTCGGATTAGGCGTCGTAAAATTGCGTGGCGTGTGCAGCCGCACCGTGCAGCTTCCCCACACCGTACATTGAATTGCATAATTCTGTGCTTCAGCAGTTGTGCGGTGCGGTTGCACACGCCGCAATTTCACGACGCCTAATCCAGCTGTTTGCTACCCTCCTACTTCCCATACTCTCTACTCCCGGTCGCTGTGGAACGCTGGCAGACGCTAGATCGATATCTATACTTTCCTAGTCGCTGACGCTGCCGGACGCTCGGAACGCTAGTGGTCGCTGGTGGACGCTGCCGCAAAGTATGAACGCAGCTAGTGACGCACAAAGATGCCGATAGTGTCAGTTCTCTTCAATTATGCAGAAACTAGCCTTGTCCTGGCTAGATGACATAGTGAAATCAATTGGGCCCTGGTGCAGATGCCGCGTATGGATGGACGTGGTGCAATACCACGTCGTGGTAATCTACACTCCAGCAACTTCGGCACCGGGCTCATTTTTAAATTGCCTGAGTTACCAAATCCGCTA